GCTATTAAAGGGAGCAGGGTGGGTGCCCTGCGTGATAGTTTCAGCTGCTATTGAAGCACTCCCTCCCTTTATAAGATCTTATTTCCTTAGTCCTATCTGCTCTGTGAATCTGTGCTTATCTACATAATTACCTAACGTGATCAATGGAAAAACACAAACACACACGCGCGCACACACACATGAACTATAATGCCTGGAGAAGTATGGCACACTCTAGAGAAAGCCAAAAAGTATCCACTTCACTGGAAACAGAATTGAAGTGGGAAAAAAGTCAGAATTCTTTATATGCATCTGCCACAGGGAGTTACTAGCCCTATGTGTACAAAGAGGGCATGCTCTGCAAGGACAAACACATTCAGGTACAATTTTAGAGAAAATTCTCATGTAATTCAGGTCTCAGGCCTACAACCCTAGCTAATTTACAAGGCTACTCTAGGGAAGACACAGTCTTAGGGATGACAACAAGTCTATGGTGCTCTGGCAGAAGAAGATATAACCCATTCCCACCCCTCGAGAGAGAGCACAAGACTGAAGATTTGGGGGTTTTGCTGGTTAGTACGTTTGTTTTGGTCTTGTTAGTTTGTTTCAGCTCAGAAGGTGTGCTTCCATTATACCCTATCAAAATATTTCTCAGCAGTCAAGGAGAGGAAAGCAACACAGAGCTGCCCTTGAGCCGAGTTTCTAATCATTACTGGGAAACCACCCCCGTGCTGTCAGGTCACATGGTTTTCGGACATGTCTAAACAGACTAGTTGAATTAAAGGCCAACTCCAGACTTGATGATGCTGAGCTGATCAGCTCCATCTTGCCATCCTGATTGATCGAGGAGATGGGTCTATAGTTAAAGTGGCAGAGCACTTTGAGGGGTTAGTCATTACAACACACTGCTTTGTCTTGGGAAGGCAACTTCTTGCTTGGCTAGGTTATGGAAGCTAAGGAGTGACGTCAAGATCTTGTCTGGCCAGAATTTGCAGATAACCATAGAACTCTTCTCCTCCATCAGGTATGGATTTAGCCTCCTTTAGTTCCTGCAGGGACACAGGAGCCTCCAAATACCAAATTATTATCAGGCGGTCTTGGGGGAACCTCTGGGCCCTGCAATAAAGTAGACAGACTTGCTATTGGAAAGTGCTCGGGAGCAATTCAGCCCTGTTCAGATTGCTCTAAAATCCTGCAAACCATCTCTGGACTTTGTAAATGAAACCCTCATATAGCTCCTGATAGTAAAAATGTACTTCGGGGAATAGAATGTATCACCACCTTTCTCTTAAATGCTTTTATGTGTCATTTAAATAAATCTGATTTGATCATGTTTTGTTTGTTTCTTTGTTGTTTTGTTGTTCAAGCAAAGCTATATAAGTATTGAGGCTGTATCTCTTTGGACAAGCACCTTCTGAACATCATTTGTAAACTAAGGTGTTGGTATTAACTGGGCTTTAAGGTCTAACTCCGAGGATCACAAACAGATGGTGGACTACTGACCAAACCTGATTCATGCTTATGTATTCATATTTTCTCTCACCCAGCGCCTTAAACCTTGGGGAATTCACAGAAAATAATATATTCCTGTTTCCTTTGAAAAAAATTAGAGTATGTAGTAATACCAGGCCTATACTCCAGCATGGCCTTCACCATCCCTTATCATTCTTCTAATCCAGCTTGGTTTTTATATTGACCTGCCTGATCACTCAAGGTAATTGCTCTAACCCAGGCGTCCTCAAACGATGGCCCGCGGGCCACATGCGCATGTTTTTTGCCTGTTTGTTTTTTTACTTCAAAATAAGATATGTGCAGTGTGCATAGGAATTTGTTCATAGTTTTTTTTAAAACTATAGTCCGGCCCTCCAACGGTCTGAGGGACAGTGAACTGGCCTCCTGTTTAAAGTTTGAGGACCCCTGAGGCTAACCTATTTTATCATAGTGCCTAACACATTGCATTGTGATTATATGATGATCTAACTATCGGCCTCCCCAGTGAGGAGGCAGGAAACAAGCCATTATTTTCATGGAATCTCTAGTTCCTAGCATTATAGGAGTATTACAGGTAATCCATAAATATTTAATGAATGGAACTTCCCAGTATCTAAATTCTTACAATTCAGTGTAATGAGACAGGGATCACTCTTTATAAGATCACACATATATTCTAAAGCCCACATCTCTGACTAGCATGCAGCTTTAGGAAAGAGAAGTAAATATGCCAGTCTGTGGCCCAAGCCTCTGATGGATCAAGGACAGGGATGGTGAACTGTTCATGTGATATTTTGCTTTAAGCACATGGAAGAAGTTCTAAACTCTCTCTGAGATCTTCTTAATTTTTTTTTAAAGATGCAACATATGCAACTTCTTGGAAGAGCCCTTCTTACAGGTTCTTCAGAGGTTAGTTTGTGAAAAACTATTCAATAGGAATCACCTAATTAAAAGCTAAGCTCCTAATATTTCATGGGCCTATACCAACAGAGCCCTCTGTATGTCAGATCTATTCATTTTGAAACATTTTTAATTCCTAGAAGACTATAATTGGGATGTTCAAAGAAATGATTTTTTTGTCAAAAGCTTATTTCTGCTAAAATAGTTACCTAAATCTGTTTAAATTGGCTAATATACTGTTAAAAACATGCCTAATAAGTAAACTGCTATGTAGGCAAGTTTGATAGGAATAAAGCCAATGAAAAAGACTATGAGTCATCTTTCTGGTTACAAGCCTGCTATTAATTAATATTTCAGTTATATACAGCCACACTGCTCAACATCTGGCCAACATCAAAGATACATCATGTTTCAGGAAAAGTTCAACAGATGATGTTCCTGCTCTCCCGGAGCTTACAATCTAACCTAAAAACACTACAGGAACACATACATGACAGTGGTCATACTTCTTGACAAAAGGCAACAGATACATTGAAGATAAAGGAAAAAAAATGGATAAAAAATGACATTTACAAAAAGGTGAAGGGAAGGAAAGGAAATTGCTTCTTCATCCCATTTCTTTGAAAAAGGATTCATGAAAGATGTGTGATTTTAAGTGCTCTTAAAATCACAGACGCATATATGTGGATGCATCCTGGAAAAAAAGAATCTTTTGCCGAGTGACTGAACAGTAAGCCAGGAAAGGACAGTTGGGCGAAGGACCCAGCAAGACTTCATAGGAAGGAACTGCCTGATGGGGAAGGGAAGGTTGAGACATGTGGGTAGAGCCAGGGCTGAGGGGAGGCACAGAGTTGCTGAGCCACAAAACCAAGACTCTCCAAAAATAACCAAAACCACTGCAAAAAATCCCCAAGGACTCCAGATTAAGGAAATGACCTTTGAGACTTTCTTTAAGGATTTCTAAGGGAAGACAGCACTTCCAGACATCTAGTCCACTTTCTTCTATGGGATCTCATTCGTCATTCATTCTGTTTGCTTTCCGGCTCATCTGTTCATTTTCTCTTATTGCATGCATGAGGCTGATGGTGTCTACTTGATTATGCAGCTTTATCCTTCCTCCATTGACCAAAGAAAAAAGCAAACCTTTTGAGGGCATGTTGATTTTGGTCAACCTCAATTATAATACAGCCCCAGGCTAACTGCAGTACCTAGTAGTGGTGGTGCCAGAGGTGTCAAAGGGCTTTATTCCTAGGGAAAACAATCAAAATGAAGACAGATGCTCCCATCGTAGTCCACACTTGACTGTGAGGCATGCAGGGCATTTCAAGGGCCTTTGGAAGATGCTTTTCTCATCAAAGAAGGCACATGTTGAGCAATTCCCCATTCACCTTGTTCACACCACAATAACAGTATGAGGATTAATAATACCTTAATTTCAAATAGCATCTTTTATTTCAAGGAGTCCAGTCTTCACACACATTGTTCTATTTATCTTGTGATGCTACAGATTCAAGCAAAATCTATGGTGGGGTCCAGTGTCATACATCAAAAGCTTGTGATACTGCTCTTCCTAACATTTAAACTCAAATTCAAACTTAAACATATCTTGGGATAAATTTGAAGAATAGGAAGACATTATAGGTGACTCCTTATATACGAACAGACCTGATATGCATTGCTAAGCCCCCCTGGTCCCATGGGAGTTCTCAATACAAAGTCAGTCCCTGAAGCCTAACCTTGCAATAGTTCCACCTTACCTTTGAGACAAGGCAGGAGAGTGATATTTAAGATGAGATAAGAACATGCAAGTAGAAGATACCCACTCATTAGTGCTAGGGAACTGCTGGGATTGGGACCACCTGATGTTACAGTCCTCGGGACCTGATTCACGTGTGAGGGAAGGCCTGGAGTTCCAATGGCATAAGCCTATTGGTCCACTGTGGGTTTATTTTCTGTTGTCCTTAAGGCTGTGCTCCATTTTTTATATTTGAGCAGTGGCTCACAAAATAGGATAAAAGGCTCTAAGAAAAATCTCAAGCTTGCCAACAAAGGCTAATGGGTCCATTTGGTTCTGAAAAATAAGTCATCACACTTAACATGCACATAATCTGTTGCCATGTATCTTTGCTATTGTGGCATCATGATAAAGTCTCATGCTGGAAAGTAGGACTAAGCAAAGCATATGGGACTACCCAAATTGATACCACCTGCGTGCAACACAGTGCCTTCCTGACTACCAAGAGTGCTATTTTAATTACTTTCAATAGACCAAATTTAAATTACAATAGACCAAATTTTAATTACATGCCTGTGATCTGTAACTTAACTGATATATGTGCATTCTAAGGATACTTCTGGTTTCTGTCTCTTTTTCAAGATAAGCATGCCTTGATTCCAACTATATGTTGACAAATGGTTTTGGGAAATGGATCCCAAGAGAAGACAATGTCTGCCCTCAGTTCCCATGCCAACAGAAGACACACCCAGAAAATTCTATAAGCAACAAACTAAAGGACCTATGCCGTGGGCCAAAAGCTGCAAGAATCCTCAGACATTTCATGACAGGGGCTCTGATAAACAATCCGGTTGATGCAACAAGTGGACCAATAAGTATAAACAGCTATACTCACATGTGTCTGGCTTGAGTTGGCTGTTGGTGATGCCAAAGTACTGGGGATTTTCAATGACAGGGATCTTGGTCATTCCAATAATAACGGCATCAGGGCCACCCTCTGAAGAAGATGGAGTGTTACTCCCATTGGAGATGTGGTGCAGTGGGCTGGCAGAGTCGTCGTCATTGCTGATAACTGAAGCTGGGCCTGGAGTTAGAAAAAATATACATGCTCCTGTAATCAAGGGTCTTATTGAGCTATGATTCACATACATAAGATTCACATACATAAGGTGTACGATTCAGTAGGTTTTAGTATGTTCACAGAATTATGCAAGAATCACCATGATCTAATTAATTGTAGTATATTTTCACACCCACTCTAGTTAGCACTCACTCCCCATTCTCCCCACTCCCAGCCACAGCCATCCACACACTTACACTCCATCTCTATGGACTGGCATTTCACATGAATGGAATTATATAATATGTAACCTTTTTTTAACTTTTTTTTTTTTACCTAGCATAATATTTTTAAGATCCATCCATGTTGTAACATACATGGATACTTCCTTCCATTGTATAGCCTAATAATACTACTAGTTGTATGGATATGCCTCATTTTATTTATTCATTCATAATGTTTTGACTTTTTGGCTATTATAAATAATGCTATTAATACTATGAATATTCATCTACAAGTTTTTGTGTGGACACATGTTTTCATTTCTCGTGGGTGGAATTGCTGGGTCATATGGTAGCTCTATGTTTAACATTTCGAGGAACCGCCAGACTGTTTTCCAAAGTGGCTGCACTATTTTATATTCCCACCAGCAGTGTGTGAGGGCTCCAATTTCTTCACTTCCTTCTCCTGCAATTTAATATGAAGCTTTCCTCTCTGTTCTGTGAAATGTCTCTAGAACACTCTGTCATTGAAACTCTCATCACAGGGCCCTGAAAGTTTTTCTGGGAGTTTGAAGATCTGAGTTTCCTGTTTCCTTTCTCCGCTCTTTGGATAAGTCACTTACCTTCTTTGTACCTCTTCATCCACTTATGTGCAAAATAATACTTGCTTGTTATTTTATGAGATTGGAATAAGACTAGTGAAATTAAAATGTATCATAAACTTAAATGTATGTCACGAGTACATAGTACTACTAGTTATTACTAAATAAACATTAACTGGTAGACTAGATTTACATTGGACTGTCCAATGACTATGTTCCTCTTTCTCTGTATTCTGGGAGTACCTGCACCTCTTTTGCCTATAAAATATCTTCATAACAATAATGGATCAATCCCATGGCAAAGTTACCTGCTTTGCTTTTAGCTGTACCAGTACTTATTGAGCCATTACTTGGGTGTCTTTATGCTAAAGCAATGATCATAGCATTTTGCAAACAACTTAAATGTTCTAGTCCAAAGTCTCAGAATGTATACGCCCATGCACAGAGTCTACTGTATCTTGTCTAAACAATATGTCCATTGAGCACTAAACTCATAGTGTTTGCAACCAAAAATAGATCGGCAAAGATAAAGGTCTACATGAAAGCTTCGAAATGGTGAAGATCCTGGTGGCTCACGACAGGCGTTCCATACATGGAAAGTGGACAAAGCCCCCTAGATATATTTTATATACAAAGGGTCCTGCTGAAGCAGACCACTGGCCAGATAGCTGGCATAAGCCAAGAGAAAGAATAAGAAGGAGAGACAAAGGGGAGTGAGAAGACAGAATCAAATGCCCAGCCAATGCAAATGCCATGCCAGGGAAGGGAAGTCTAAATTGCTACTTCCTGCACGAGGAAATGTGTTTTTATCTAAACCCCCCACAAAATGCATGTTTCAGCACCTCCATCCATCCACTGCCATTTTCCTCATGCTTAACTATTTTGGTGAGAAGTGTGGCAATTCTAAAAAAAAAAAAAAAAGTCTTTTTGTCATATGGTTTTGAATCCCCTAGGCAATACAATGATACCCATCCCCCAACCTACAAGACCCATTCTTTTCCCCTCGTATGGGGATTATCGCAGTTTGTAGTGATAACAATTGGACATTCCCCAGCTAACTGTCTTAAACAAACTATGCAGGAGGCAGCCAACTGCTATTATAGGTAATTTTTGAAGCATTCTCAAGGGGATGTACATTTAAGCTGCCTTTTATGATAAGCTCCGGCTCAATTCTGCAAACAAGTCCTCACACAGCCAACTTAGAAGCCACAGAACACTCAAAGCAAAGGCAAGCCCACCAGTTGTGTTCATGTTGTGCCTAGCTCACCTGTGTTAGTAAAGAGCAGAAATCCTGCCAAGAATATCTATCAAAACAAGATCTTTCCAATATCCCTAACCATCTCTGCTTTATGATTTGCTTCTTGACAGGCCTTGCTTAGCCAGCTTCTGGCCAGTGATGAAAAATGGAGATGTGCTATGCTGAGATTTCTGCATCTTGTCAATGAAACCATGTCACCACTGGTTCCCTTGCTAGGTTCCCAGAGCACCTGTCCCCTCCTGCGAGGTTACCAAAGCATGCTTCCATGAGCTCCCCAAGGGGATGCAGTCAAGGCTGCACATTTCAGATTCCAGGCCTCAACCTTCACCCCCTGAAATGCAGGAGTTACATTTTCAAATACTCCGCATGCTGTCAGATGGTTAACATCATTTCCTCCTGGGGTCCCTGCAATGATTAGAAATGCATGCAACCCCAGGTGTTTTTTCCTCTAATTCTCCTCTGGCCCAGGATGGTATGATGTTCATGCCATGAACATCACAGCAGCATTCAATCACTTTTGAGGAGGTTGATACCTAGAAGACAATCTTGAAATTCCTCCAGGGATTCAGGCTTTGAATTTTCTGCCAAGTGTACAGTGGAGTCCTTACCAAGGGGCTAGTTCTCTGCTTCTGCTTCTCCACTAAAAGCACACCCCCTCCTTCCCCTAACCTCTCCAATTAAACTCCCCCACTCGGATATAACAGATCTCAAGGGCATGGGCTCTTGTTTGGGAAGGTGTGGGGATTAAGTGTAGGAGCAGTATAAAGAACCAAAGGTAATTTTCCAAAAGTGTTTTCCCTTTGCCAGAAAGTCACTGTTGACAAATGCGAGCAACACATAACCCTCAACAATTCATCAAGTGGGATTTTAATTCAAGCGCTGTTTTCTCCATTATTGATGTTCTAAAATCTGGAAGATTGATATGGGTGGCAAGGTTGCAGGGATTAAGCCCATTTTTTCTACGAACGTTTTGATATAATGGAATGCAAAGCACAGCAAAGTTGGGAAGAGGGAAGAAGCTCTCAGCGGGGACAATGAATGTCTATACAATTTGACAGCAGCCTGTCTGTGCAAATCATGCGACATGCCTTTGTGTGTCTGTGCATGTGTTTGAGCAGGCACCTCGAAAAAGAAGAAGAGTAAAGGGGCACATCACAGCATGTTAAAAGAAATTCATAGGAGGACTTGAAAAAATACAATATTAATATAAAGTTTTAAATTGGTAGGTACGTGCACATCTGCTGAGTCTGGGGTAGGTAGTTCTAATTACTGAGCTGGCAAACATGAATTATGCCAGGAAACATTTTTAGCCCATTTTTATTTTAATATGTCTCAGGTGCAAAAAAGACATTTTTTTCTTTTATGAGAGCTGCTTGGTAACATATCCCACACATATGACTTACAGACATTTCTAAGCCCAACTTAGACTTATTTTCCTGTGATAAGAATCAATGAAGGTCATCTGGGAAAGGAGTTTTCTTCTCTCAATACCAACACTACCTTCAAGGCTGGGGGTGGGGGGAGGATTATTACTCTTGCACAGCTGTATTAACCACACCTTTTTACTTTCTGTATTCTGATGCTTAACATGTAGGGTCCTGCTGACACTGGTTGGCCAGTTCCTGGAGATAGCAAATACCCTGCCTGAGATTACACCTCTCACCTGCAGGCCAACCAATCCAGAGTCTACACCCCCAACCGCCTTCCTAAACCAGCTCTCACACTCACGCCACCTGCCCTCACTACCCCAGAGCCAGGGACGTGACAACTCAGGACATCCTCTGCAACCTAGGGCCTGCTGAAATCACTCGAACTCACCACACTACCCTGCCTCGCCCGTTTCTTCCCATGGAAAACACACCAAAGGCTCTTGCCCACGGTCCTCTCGCCCCCTCTGTGCCACTTCCCTGTGTAGCTCCCCAAGGCACAGAGCGGCCCCTCCTCTTGGGAGCTGTGAGCAACAAGCTGTCTTTTCAATGGCAGGCATCTCCTGAACTGTCAGGCTCACTGTGCCTGAAAAATAATAAAGCCCCTATCTCAAAACAGCAGCACCTCTGCGGGGCTGCAGCTGGAAGAACCATTCTGAAGAATTCTCTCTGCTGTTGCCTAAAAGGGTTAAATCCCATTTTTGAAGCTTGCCAGGATCAAGCACTCATCTGCGGTGCAAACTGGCTTGAAAAATGGTTAAGTGGTTGCAGTGACTTGCTATCTAGTGGAAGCATCTTACAGCACTGTCCTGGAGACAATAAATACCTATCTCTAGTTTACCACCCCTCCCCCAACACACACACACACACACCATAAAACCCTAGAACAGGACACCTTTAAGACTTCCCAGGCAGGAAAATCCTTTTTATATCTTGGCAAAATGACTATGATCACTTTGTGCCTGAAATTTGTCCCTAGGGAGCTGCCTAGAAGCCCTGAGCTGCCTAAGCTTGCTATCCCAAGTTTGCCACATCTCTACTTTCCCCTTGCTGGCTAAGAACTTTAACCTTGGAATTCATGGGCCTGGTAAGGGTCAGGGTGACTTTTTCCCATCCAGGCCCCATCTGTCCAGTCAGCCTCAGCCCACTGGTCATTTTTGGATCACTGGACAGACACTGAGGGAGGCTGCCCAACAGGGCAAGGTCTGATGTCAGGTTCAAAAGTGAAAGGAAACAGAGTCCTCATATGGATGGGATGAACAAGTAGAGGGTGGATGGCTCAAAACTGAGCCGCTCCCTGACATCTGTACACTTCTCCTACCTTGCAATTTTACCTCTGGTCTACCCTGCTACCAAAAGAAATACTAATCATGCCCACAATGGTCAGATCTTGGAAACCCACAGGAAAGATGTAAGACAGTCTGTCTTTTCATTCCTTCTAAGCAATTCCTGCTGGTTGTTTCTGCACTCATAAAAAGTACTGAACAAATTGGAGGTCCAGGGAGATCACACCTGATTTCAATCCTAATGATGAGCTACATCATCTGCATTCACTTGGCATGCAACAAACTCTGCTCTTCAATTGTCAGCACATCGCCTGAATGCAAGGAATAGAATGCAATCAAGCACAAATCACAGCGTCTGGACGTTAGAGTCTATTTTGAAAGAGAAATAGTCATAAATGAACAGACGATTTACTAATTCAGAACTTTATTACATCTTGGCCAATCGAAGAAAGTTAAGACCCAAACTTGTGCAGCCTTTACTATTCAGTCAACTATTCCCTGCACACGCAGTTGTGATAGCAGTTGCATTTTATTTCTTTAACCTTCTTAAAAATGCACCACGACCTAGAACTGGGATGACATTGTATGACAGATAAAAACAAGTCAACTTCAAAAAATGCAAAAAAAAAGTTACTGAACTCAATTAGCAAGAGTAATGCCTTTTCTGGAAGAATCCTAGACCTCCTTCTTCAACAAACCAGGAACACAGAAAATGAATTAAGGACCAACAAATGTCAATAGAGTCTAAGCAGTTTCATCCAAATTAAAAACATAAACGTATTACTTATCCAAAGAAGGAGTAACTACTTACCAACACCTTGTCTTGATTTTACTTTCCCAAATCCAAACCATGAGAAATCTGAAAACCACAACAAAACATAAAATAAACTTCGAAAGAGAAGTATAAGCCAGAGGCAGTCAGCACTATCCTTGGTCAAATAACACAACAAACTCCCAACTAAAAAACAAAACCAAAAACCACACTGGGGAACCAAGGCTTCCTATCAAACACCCAGAAACTAACACTTGGATTTTTGTTTCAACATTTATTTTTCATCCTGAGAACACAGAGGTTCAAATCAGATAAGAGACAACGGCCTGTCTTGGAGAAAAACGGTCAAAACTCAGGCTTAAGGGTTCCGAGCTGTTTTCTTTCTTTCTCACTTTCTTTTCTTCCTAAGTGGAGAGATCATTGCCTAGTATTGAATCATCTAACAGCAAAGCTGCAGGGGTGAAGACACACACAATACATTTGACAAATGCACTACGGTTCTGAGCCGCAGCAATGTGGGGAAATAATAAGAGAAAACAGATCTTTTCTGAAGCTGAGACAGGCAGTAAAAAAAGGAACACAGAATCCCGTGGGAGAGCTGACACTGGGCTAGATGGAGCTTCAGGAGGAGGAGAAAGGGATTTTAATTCTACTCGGATTCCTGCTACTGACTTGCCGTGTACGGATTTGCTGTGTGACACTGGGCATCTCTGTGCCTCTTCCAACAACAGCCTCCAGAAGGCACGTGCTAAGAAAACACCTGCCAAACATTTGGAGAGCCTCCAGTCACTAAAGCCACGGTAAAATGCGCTTGTTTCCCCGGGCCTGCCTATCCATCCCCTTCTAGATAATTTCCACTGGGTTCAAAGTGAATTCTGTGCAGCAGAAAAATCCCTAGAAACAGGCACATAACGGGAATGGAGCTCAAATAAGTAACTGTGTTTCTCTGCTCTTTCAGCTCTCTAGTGATTTTTACAGGCAGTTTGGATAGTAAACTCAATTGAAGAAGAACTAATTTAAGTGAAACAATGTATGTAAAAATTCTTGGCACACTCAAAGATGCCTTACAAAGCTGCTGTCATGATTATTACTTGTTCGAGTATAGATTTAGGCTTTCCTTCCCTGGTATCCCACAACTTCAGCCCTCCGACTTCTAAGCCCATTTTTACTTTTGATTGATATTCCTCTGAATGCTTCCTTCCAGGTTTTAGAAGATGAGATGAGGGCCTGGCCTCAAGCCAAGGCCAAACGAAGATTCATTTGTACAGAAGACAGTGAACTTGATTCACTGTCATGAGGAAGGGTCATGCCTATAAATTTGGTAATTACAGCTAACCTCATTTAAAATGAAGTGTATATTCCCACTGGTCACTTTTTGTTTTTCTATATTCGTTTGATTTACATCGTTTTTAATTTAACCACAGATTGAATTTCTTAAAACTTTCTTAAGTTTTCTTAATTTCTTTAATTTCTTAAAAATTTCTTTTCACTTAAGTAATTTTTTTAAAAGTAACTTTTCCATTTTACAGAGAACCCACTGAGGGACAATGCCACAGCAACTACTCACTGGCTGCACATTTCAGATTATTTCTGATCACTATAATAAACACAACTGCAGTGAACATCTTTACACATCATAAGTGCTCCCCTCCAGTTGTCAAGAATCGTTCCCTTAAAATAAATCCCCAAAATGAAATTACTCATTCAAAAGGGGTGAATATGGTTAAGGTTCTCAACACATATTGTCAAACTGCTGCTGTCCTATATCAACACTATACGACAGGGTGGGAGTGTATTTTTGAGCTCCAGCCAGTGGGAAAGCTAAGGGTGAATAAATACAGCTACTCGACCATGGGTGCAGCTCCAGCTAACTGAGCAGAGACCTGGCAAATATTCCCCTCCCATCTGTGCCCTATGAAACCATTCTGGCTCTGTGTCTCCCAAGCTAGCGTTTTGCACAGGTGCAATAAGAAGACCCACAGATATGAAAAGAATACAATTTCCTCTCACTTGAGCAATCATTACAATTCACCGAGTGCCTCCACCTACACCAGGCAGACACTTCTCCGTTGGTCCTCAGCCAAGCTTTGTTTGGATGATAAATTATCCTGCGCTTATTGATGAGGAACTGAGACTCAGAGAGGCTGATGCGATTAGCAGAGATCCCAGCTTGTAGTGACTGAGCAGGGATTCAGTCTCCTGAGATAGAATCCAGTTTTTTTACCCATTCTATTTTCCAATGTTCCAAAATAGCCAAAAATAACCAAATTGTACATTATAATCGGGATTCAATTTTACATATGGAAAAAACACTGTAAGTAGTTGTTCATTCTCATCTATGTACTCAACAAGCAGGACAGAGGATTTAAAGAGGAATGAGTTGAAGGGCCTACCTGCAAGGAGCTTCCAGGGGAAGCTGAGCCACCTGGAAATATGTCCAGGTGCCTCTGTTCGGGGGTGGGGGTGGGGAGAGAGCACTCTGACTTCTGGAGAGCAGATTAGAATTAGTCAAGAACGGGAAAGAGCAGAGGGAGGGGTGCTTGCTCTATCCATAATCCAGCTAAGCCTAAAGTGGGAAGTGCTGGGTATGTCAGGGGGCTGACACAACTTGAAATGGGGGAAAGCTAAGAAATATAAGCAAGGGCCAAGCCAAAAGTTTGGATTTTATAGTGAAAATTGTGGTCAGACTCTAAAAATATATATCAAAATCTCAGGCCAGGAAGCAACATGATCAAGATTAATTTTTAAAAAAATTATTTTGGCTGCAGGGTGGAATCACCATTATAGGAGGGAAAAAATCAAGGGCAAGAGATGGTCTGAGGCTCAGGACACAGGTTTAATGCCCAAAAGGGATTTGCCCAAGTTCTAGAGTCCACAGATCAACTGGAGAATGGAAACTGGATTTGTACCTAGGATTCATTTTTTGCCAACATCTTTTCTTACAGGCACAAATAAATGGGCACTCAACTGGAGCCACTCAACTGGGGCCAACTTTTGACAAAATTATTCTTAAACACCTGAAAGATTTCTAGGTTGTCTTTAAAAGTAGAACAATCATTATGCAGGAGAGAATGCAATTGTCTTGACTATACCTCAGAGTACTGGGGAAATTTAACAGATCAGTTGTAGAAAAGTCAAATTGGTACCTCTCCCCTGAAAGCTGTTATTTGATCAACAGCTCTTTCTGGATGGATTTAAACAGTAGTCTTAAAACTTTAATACTAAATTGCACCAGCAAAATTTTTCCACAAGGCCAAAAAGAAACAATTTCTCCATTTCCTGTGATGTTTCACCCATTGGGAGTAGAGTCCTGCCAAACCTTCCTTTATTTTCTGTTTAATAAGAGACACTTTATTCACTGCGAAATAAAGGGCTCCTTCAAAAGCAAATGTAGTTGTAACGAGCCTAAACAATCCCCTCCTGTTGGAATCTTAACCAACAAAGACTCTAAATTACGAAATTAACCAATTAAATCCACCTTATTTTGAAGAGAGCTCAACCTTTTTCCCTGACCAGAAAGGAGGAATGTAGGAAAAAATAGCACCTTAACAACTCCAAGATGGAATTCAAGCTAAATACAATAAATGGCAAAAAAAAAAAAAAGAGATTACTTTTCAAATGTCTCTTAAAGGAAACAGCTAAAATGTAGGGGATTGAAAAGGGATATTTATGAATCAGAGAAAGGAGCCAGAAACAGGCAACACGGAAGAAACCTGACCTTCCCCGTAGGTACTGACTTGCACAAACACTAAAAGTGACGCTTAGCAGGGTTCCGATCGCAAGAGAACTCAGTTTCCGGATTTTATTTTTAAGTCTCAGAAAAAATCATTTTAGTATGTTAAAAGAAAAAAAAATTAGCTTTCCTTTCTTCTAACTCTGAAGAAGTTGAAATTTCCTGTGTTCTCAAATGTAATTTCTTTATATTTTAAGGTAAGACTCACCAGTCTCTACCCCCAAGAAAAGCAACTTTAACATCGTGATGGAAGCAAATGGAAAAGTATGATTCATGAAGAGAGAAATGTACTTCACCTCCAACTTCTTAGGACCATGCCCATGCCCTAAGGCAGTGGTCCCCAACCTTTTTGGCACCAGGGACTGGTTTTATGGGTGACAATTTTCTATGGACCAGGGTGAGGGTGGGGGATGGGGGCCAATGGCTTCAGGATGATTCAAGCACAATACATTTGTTGTGCAGTCAAACCTCTCTGCTAATGATAATCTGTATTTGCAGCCTCTCCCCAGCGCTGGCATCACTGTCTCAGCTCTGCCTAAGATTATAAAGCATTAGCTTCCCATAAGAAGCACACAGCCTAATCCCTCGCATGCCCAGTTTACCGCAGGGTTTGTGCTCCTATGAGAATCTAATGCTGCTGCTGATCTGACAAGAGAAGGAGCTCAGGTGGTGATGCGAGAGACTGGGAGCAGCTGCAAATACTGATCAAGCTTTGCTCTGCTCGCCTCCTGCTCACCTCCTGTTGTGCCGTCTAGTTTCTAACAGGCCACAGGCTGGTACTGATCCACTGCCCAGGGTTTGGGGACCACAGCACTAAAGGACATGTGAAAGGAGGCATCTCTGGGCTGCTTTGCTGCAGAGAGTGAGTGGACCAGTGTTGAATCCCAAGGAGATACTCAAAGTGCTTGCGTAAGTAGCCAATGAACTGTCACCTCAAAGAACTAGAATGACTGCTCATTGGGGTGGAGGAGACATGAATGCAAAGGATTGTCTTGTTGACAATATAATCATCTCCCTTTCCTACTGACACATAATCAGAGTGAGTAATAGTTTGCTTCAAAGTAATTCCAGTTCCTCAGGGTGCAGAAAAGTGTAGTTTGGGGCCAAGTTTCCACTTTAATTTAATCTTTTATTTAAGAACACAACCTTTATAAAAGAAAGCCCCATGTCCACAGTGTAGGAAGAGGGCTTGCTTTGAGTTAAATTGTATCTGGAAATCATGATGCAAAGGCAACTGGTATCCTTCTGACCAACCTCCCTTTGGCTTCATCTCTTCCTCTTTCTCAAATTTGCAATGTGGCTTATTTCTACTGTTCTCCAAAAAAAGTAACACTAAGCAGCTCCTATGTGACAAATATAATGAAAAATATGTGTTTTATGGCCAACGCTGATGGCTGTTCTTTGAAATCTGTATTTTCCTTTTTTTTCCCCTGGGGCCCACAGCCACACTCTATTGCCCAGCCTCCTTTGTGGTTAGTTGTGGCCATAAGACTAAATTCTAGCCACTGAGAGGGGAGCAGAGCAAGGGATCCTACTTCCAGGCTTGGGGATCAATACTTCCTACGTGAGCCACCCGTGCTCTTTCCTCTCCTACCTGGCCAGAATGATGACAACATCTCTGGCAAACTTGGAGGTTATGACTTGAAGATAGCCTAGGGCTCTTCCAGCGAATGACTAATTCTCCCAGTCTTGTTATGTGAGTACAGGCAGAGTAGAACACATCTCAGAAGCTGAGCTATGTTCCCTTCAACTCCCATCCATCTGCAAGAAATACACTATTGTGTTTGAGCTGTTATCCACTTTGATGGACTTATTTACTATGGTAGAGAGCCTATCCCAACTAATACACATATACAAAGAAAAGATATATATACTTGAGGTTTTATTAACTGATTCCAGGGCTTCTCAACCCTTCATCGAAAATTTGAAACTGCATGTCCATGCATATTTGCATTTTTCTGGAGGGAAAGTCCATAGATTTCATCAGATTTTCAAAGGGTTCTTCACCCCTAAAGGCTAAGAACCACTGAAATACATATAAATTCCTATACAGACAAAGATATAAATGCATACATACTCTGTATGGAACTCTCTATAGGAGACAAAGATATAAATCCTATTCTCTGTCAACGGTCGAATGTGGGTTCTGAGAATCATCCATCACCTCTCACCTAGATTTCTGCAGCTCCCCGCATCATTCTTGCCTCCCCTTAGTCTCTCTCCCAAGGAACTGCCAGAGTAATCATTTTCAAGTATAAATCAGATTATTGCATTACCCTGCTTGGAATCCCTTAAAGGTTTCCCGTTGCATTTAGTATAAACTTTTGATCATCACTGTAGAGTCTCAAATGACCATGACCAAAGTGTGCCAACTATCCAGTGCCCCCATCCCCAACTCATTCCCTGTGAAGCAGCCACAGTGGTCTCTTT